GTGGAAATGTTCACTTTTAGGAGTGAAATTGAAGAGAGTGATTTAAAGGTCTCACTAAGCTGAGGAACACATATTTCTTTTGCCTTCCTGCTCTATCAGTACCATACGGCTGACATAAATGCTCCTTTCCTATCCAGTCTTCAAAAAAAAAGCTTATGAAAAGTGAGCGCTAGTTAAGGAGTGGGTGGGTTCCTTCAAGCTGATAGCACATGTCAAGTAAGGCAGCTTGCAATCCAGCAGGATCAGGTTTTGTAGTCGACTTCATTTTCATAGCCAATAATTTCCCAGTTTATTAGGAATTTTGAAAAACAGAATTATAAGAAATCGGTGGTTTGCCTGAATTTTAAACACTCGTTCCACTATCAAGCAAACATTGGGTCCAGTATGCAATTAATTAATTGCCAGTAATTTTCTGCTTTTCCTTTTTTCAGCCCATTTTATCTGAACTTTATGACAGCAGCCCCTTCAATTTTTTAAGAGAGACGCACCTAAAGTCTGAATGACTTGTATTTACCCAGAATTGAATGTCATCAGGTCCAAATGGCCCATAATCTTCAGACAAGATAAGAGCTTATTTCTCTCCCTCTTGCAGTTTATATTGGCATCATATTGGCGTCACAACATTGTGGCATTCCTGTATGGCATTCCTAATGTTCTCCTTCAGTGATGCCAGTTTGGCCTTTTCTCTCCCAGCCTATGTTTAAACAACCTTGGGTAGCATTCTGGAAATGTTCCTGCTTAATCTGACACTGAGCCACGATGTGTAACCTTTATCTTCCTCATCACCATCGTCCTTATAAAGGAGGTGTATTTATGTGACCGGACCAGTTTGTCATTGGTAAATTTCAGGGGTGGGGTGAGAAGGAAGGAAAAAGCTTGTAATTTAGAGTGGGGAAGACAAGCCGTTGGCTATTTGTCAGCCAATCACCGTCCTCAAAATATTTCCCATCAACATTAATAGGACATTTTGGTTTGGAGAAGATGGATAGATTATATTGAGCGCAAATATGGGACCAAAAAATATCATTTGGTTTTTGAGTGAATTTTAGAGTATTATTGTTGTATAAAGGTTAGAATAGTTTATTTAGTATTATTTTTAATTATTAAAGTGATATTATTATTGTTTTTAATAACTGTATATTTGTTTAAAAGAGAGTTAAAGGAGGTTATAGAGATGTTATTTTAATTGTTGATTAATGTTAGTTAGAGTATGATTATTTTATTGTTAACCCTGTGATTGGCACTGGGAAGTGAGGGGGGAGTGGAAGGGTGGGTTGGGGAAGGGGGGGATTTATATTGTAAAATTTTATAAAATTTTCAATTAAAAAAACAAAACATTAATAGGACAATATCTCTCCCTAGGTCGCTGCATCAACAACAGCCTGTCAAACAAAGAATGACGTTCCCTCAGGATACTATATCCTCACGGTAATGACGGAATTAAGATTCCTACATTCCTTAGGAATACAGGCTGCTTTTCTAGCAAACCCAGAAGTTTACAGAGCAATATTCTAGATCAGTTTTCCTCCACCAGATCTGCTAAATAAAATCATACATCCCAGGCAGGCGGCACTCAAAAGCCAGTTGGCTGGGAATGATGGGAACTGTACACCAGCACGTCTCCTGTGCATCGGTCCATCAAATCCGATTAAAGCATGCCTTTATTTTCCCTAACCCCAACTCGGAAGAAGGGCAGATTTAACTCGGGATAAGGGCAGGGGAAGCGGGCAGTGGATTATTTGTCCGTCCGCTCAGCGTGGACATCCTCTCGCCGGTTAGTTACCGCGTTTGTCTGCGGCTTTCCCGGAACCAAGGAGCGCGCGTTACGCAAGCTTAAAGAGTAAAACGATACGCCGCGCCCTTCGTCCCGCGTTCTTCTCCCAGCTCTCGCCTCTCCGGCTCCCACCTGACTCTGCGAATGACCCCGACTCCAGGCGGAGAAGCCTCTCTGGCAGGAGGCGCCTGACTCGCTGGGTCCCCGGAGGAAAAGGGCTCGCTAAGAACCGGGAGGAAAAAGGAGAGCTCGCCTGGGCAGGATGACTCGGCCCTGGGAGGAACGCAGCCAGATGGCCGCAAGCCGGCGAGTCCCCGAAAGCTTCGTTCGGGGGCAGCAGGGAGGACGGGAGACCGGCGTTTCCGGCCTGCGAACTCCGAGACCCGCCGAGGCTTCCCCCGGGGGCCGTGGCCTTCCCCCGCCCCACCCAGCGCTCTGCTCTCCTCCCCTGCCTTCCAATTGGCAAGCCCAGCTCCCGGCCCCTAACGCTATATATGCCTCGTTCCGCCCGGCTATGGGACCTGAGCAGAGAGAGCGCAGCATCCTCATCCCGCGGCGCTCCAGACCTTCCCTGCCGTTGTACGAAGGGAGAGAGAGCCCCGCCAGACGCCACCGACTGGGGCAAAGTTTCTTTCGGTTTGCCAGGGAATCCCGACTGCCAGGGTCTTCCCGGGGCTAGATCGCGGCCCTTCTAGGTTCCCTTCCTAGGTCTTCCGCCACCTTCCTCCCGCGCCTGGCTTTCCCGGGTATAGCCCTCCTGCAGCTGGAGGTTCGCGGCGTTTGAACCATCCATCCAGGCACCCACCCACCCATCCTTCCATCCATCCAGTACCAGAATCATGAGTTCCCCTTTGAAGCGAGCCCCCTTGCTCAGCTCTCTCCTAAAGCTGCGGGGTCCCAGGAGCGCACCTGCTTTGCAGCAGCAGCAACAGGTGCCCACTTCGTCCGTGTGCGCCTTGGAGCCCAAGGCTCAGGTGCCTTCTTGCCCCGTGCATGCTCCCCACTCACTTTCTGCTCTGCCCGGTCCCATCAAATGGCCTCTGATGGGCAGCCTCTTAGACATCCTGTGGAAAGGGGGCCTCAAGAAACAGCACCAGACCCTGGTGAGTAATCTGTGTTTTCCCCCTTCCCAGTAGATCCTTCGCCCAAAGCTAGGGTTGGCTGACTGTTGAGGGTCACTTATGGTAAAACACGTAGTTGTTTGAATGGCAAAAAGCAGTTGCTAACCCTCTCTGACCTAAAGGTTTTAGTGGCAAGATTGGGAAATATCTCTAAGGATGCCCCCTGGTAGAGTTTGGAAGGTACTTCGAAGATCTTCTAGTTCAGCATCTCCTATCATTGTGATGGACTGAGCAGATTGCAGAATTCTCAGACTGCATTGGATCAGTCTGATCCAGTCAGTCTTCAGCCAGGGCAGGGAATCAGTCATCGGGGCATCCTTAAACAGGTGACCGTTCTTGCATCTTGTTTAAAAACTCATTAAGGAAGAAGAAGCAAGCACTTTTTGAGATAACATGGTCGAACATCATGACACTGGAACGTTCTTAATCAAATGCTTAATATAAGCTCCATCATCACCATTGAAACAGATTTGCTCTGGTCCATCTTTTGTCTGAAGGAGACGCGTCTTACAGAATGCTAGATCCCCACTGTGTGAACTGAAAGTTGTGTGTACTGTACTGTATATTTATTCACCTCTTCTTGCAAGGGTGACTGAGTGCTTGGCTGCCTGATTTAATCTCCCCTCCCTTTTCCTTTCCCTTCTCTTCAAGGCTGAGTACCACCAGAGGTTTGGCAAAATCTTCCGCATGAAACTTGGGAGTTTTGACTCAGTTCATATAGGCGCACCCTGTCTGCTGGAGTCTCTCTATAGGAAAGAAAGTGCCTATCCACAGCGCCTGGAGATTAAACCCTGGAAAGCCTATCGAGACTACCGTAAAGAGGGCTATGGGCTGCTTATCCTGTGAGTAAAGATGTGGAAGGACATATGCCACTTTGTGCTGAAAATGCCCTGTGCTTATGTTGGCTTGAGGTTTTAGTGCAAGGGATGCTAAGAGCAAGTAGTTCAGATTGCTGTTTCATAAATACATTTGAGTCTTTGGTAGTAGTTTCATTATTTATAAATATTAAATGATTGTGGGAGACAAGTCAATATGCCATTTATATTTATATTTTCTTTAGGATTCTTTGTCTTTTGGGACCACATTCAGCTGTTTTATCCTGAAAGCAAGCAAGTTTATCATAGTGACAGTATAGAGAAGCAAATTGCAGCATTATCCCAGTTAATTTGGACTTAACCCTCCTGGCAACATTAGAATGGAAAAACTGCAGCAGGAGAAAGGCAGTTTTAGATCTAATGCACGTAAGATAACACTCAAGCTAGAAGGGAAATGCAGAATGTGAAAAATGCTATATAATGGTAATTTGATATCTCAGGAAAAGTAAGAGATCAACAGTAGCATCTAGTACATCTTCCCAAAAGCTAAACAGGGCTCTCAAAGTTTTAGGTGAAATTAAGCAACGGGTGGAAACTAATCAAGGAGAGAAGCAACCTAGAACTAAGGAGAAACTTCCTGACAGTTTGAACAATTAACCAGTGGAACAACCTGCCTCCAGAAGCGGTGAATGCTCCAATACTGGAAGTTTTTAAGAAGAGACTGGACAGCCATTTGTCCGAAATGGTATAGGGTTTCCTGCCTGAGCAGGGGGTTGGACTAGATGACCTCCAAGGTCCTTTCCAACTTTACTATTATTATTATTATTATTATTATTATTATTATTATTATTATTATTATTATTATTATTATTATTATTATTATTATTATTATGTCAGAAAAAAATCCAGAAAAAAGCAGCAGAAAACCACATCCATAAGGTACATTTCCACTTGTGCTCAGGGCTCAAGCTTGACTAAGGAAATTTTTTATCTTTATTTAAAGTAAATGATATATTGGGATGCAAAGCCATTTTCCCATATTATCAAATTTGATTAGTCTGCTTGCTTATCTTCCTTCAAATATATTAGCATTCACTTATGAAAACTGCCCAGACTTAATATTGTTTTAACATTTCCTCATACACGCACACACCTTTCATTTAAACCAAGAAATGTTAAAAGGTTTGCCGAGCCTTTATGATCAACATAGTGGATGTACTAAGTTGAGGATTTCTTTTAATCACTTGAATATTTGTTTTTCACAGAGAAGGGAAGGACTGGCAGAGAGTAAGAAGTGCGTTTCAGAAGAAATTAATGAAACCTGTGGAAATTGTAAAGTTGGACACTAAAATCAATGAGGTACTGCAGAAGAATAGGTGTTTAAAATTGCCTCTAAAAGTCTGATCCAGACACAGGTGTAATTTGAAATTTTGAACACTCTTGTTATTATGTGGACTACTTTAAAAGAGGGAGGAAAGAAATTAGAAAATTATCTCTCCAGAAATCACGTAATTTTTTTCTTAACTTATACCAGTTGAAAATACAGTTGAAACAACAATTTTGAATGCAGCTCACAGATTTTTCTGCCATGTAGAAATGTAGCACATCAGGGTACAGTGAAGACTGCAATTTCCTTCTTAGCATGCCAAATTCCTATATGCAGGAAGGGGAAGAATTAAAGAGCAAATATTCATGTCTAGCCTTCAGTTCCAAATGGTTTAAAAGCATATTACTTAATTTCTATTTCACTTTACTATTTCACTAGTATCCATCAGATATTAATTATATATTTTTCACTTCTGACTTAGTTAAAGTTAGAAAACGAAAAGATCTTTTCCAGACCTATGATGATAGTAGTAGTAGTAGTAGTAGTAGTAGTAGTAGTAGTAGTAGTAGTAATAATAATAATAATAATAATAATAATAATAATAATAATAATAATAGTAGTAGTAGTAAAGTTGGAAGAGACCTTGAAGGTCATCTAGTCCAACCCCCTGCTCAGGCAGGAAACCCTACACTATTTCGGACAAATGGCTGTCCAGTCTCTTCTTAAAAACTTCCAGTGTTGGAGCATTCACCACTTCTGGAGGCAGGTTGTTCCACTGGTTAATTGTTCTAACTGTCAGGAAGTTTCTCCTTAGTTCTAGGTTGCTTCTCTCCTTGATTAGTTTCCACCCGTTGCTTCTTGTCCTGCCTTCAGGCACTTTGGAAAATATCTTGACTCCCTCTTCTTTATGGCAGCCCCTGAGATATTGGAACACTGCTATCATGTTTCCCCTCGTCCTTCTCTTTGTTAAACTTGATAATTTTGATCAGCTCCTTTTCTGTATCTTTTCTGCAGCATCTGTTTTGTGATGGACTGATCAGAACTGTAAATGATATTCCAAATGTAGAATTGGCATGCCATAGACCTGAAAGCATTATACTGTTAGCATTTTTCAATTGGATTCACTTCCTAATGACCTTTCATTTTTCTGATGCAGAACACTAAGAGAGCTTTTTCAATCTCTTCCGCAGGTCCTAGCTGATTTTATGCATCAGATAGACACACTCTGTAATGAGAACGGAAAAATAGAAGATTTATATTCTGCACTGAACAAGTGGTCATTTGAAAGTAAGTTTTTCATTCATTCTGGGGTCATTGCTGCTTTTTCTCTACACTAAAATGTATCCATATAGGCTAGCTTTCCCCAACCTGGAATTCTCAGAATGCCTTAACCAGGATGGCCATGTTGGCTAAGAATTCTGGGATTTTCCATCCCAATAGAACTGAAAGGCACCAGGTAAAGATCAGGTGAAGAGTGAGTTTGGTGTAGTGGTTAAATTGCTAGCCTAAATACCAGGAGACCATAAGTTCAAGTCTCACCTTAGGCATGAAAGTTGGCTGGGTGGCTTTGAGCTAATCACTCTCTTTCAGTCCAACCCACCTCATAGGGTTATTGTTATGGGGAAATGTTTGCTACCTTGAGTTACTTATAAAATATTAAAGGTAGAATAAAAATATTACAAATAAATAAACTTTGCCCATGTAGAGGGGAACTCTGGCCAGTTGCTTATTACTGAATGTGTTGTCCTTGAGGCCTCATAAGCAGGTATTACTAATACTGTGGACATTATATATTAATTGCATCAAAAGGAGGGGATTGGGCATCATTTAAAATTCCCAGAGAGATATGTTAAGGAAAACGTGGTCAAGAAACTGGGACATGCTTTTGTCATGATTTCTTTTTTATATGTATAACTAGGTATTTGCCTGATGCTATATGGGAAAAGGTTTGGACTTCTGCAGCGAGATGTGGAGGAGGAAAGTTTGAACTTTATCAAGGCTGTAAAAACGGTATGAAAATGCCACACATATGATAGCCAATCGATTTTCTGTAAGATATTAGCAAGTCAGCCATGTCTGCTTCTGTGGGAATAAAGGGACTGCAATCCAGAGATGCATCTATTTGCCTATTGCACATCCCAGCCTTTGCAATTATTCAGTTATGCAGTTCCAGCATGGAATTGATTCTGGGATGTATTTTTAAGAAACCTTATGCCTTCTGAACTACGCAGAGATGCTGGAGTTAGGTCTTTTCAATAGTTTCCATTGACTGAGGCCCTTAACCTAAATAAATGGAAAAAGCCTTTGATGCTCAATAAGAAAATAAGCTACAAGGAATAATTCCAGTGTTATAGGATAATGCCTTATAGTAGGCTGGGTCACTGGTTGATTCTCAGTTGCTCTACAGGTTTCAGGGCTTTTCCCCCCCCCATCTTCTATGAAGATGCCTGGAGATTCTCCTTGGGTCCTTCACCTTGGAAAGCAAGCATTCAATTTCTGAGTGGTAGCCCTCCAAAAATACTTCAGATTGTTGCCCTCAGACATATAAATTACTATGTTCACACAAAACCCTTAATCAGATAAATGAAAGCCCCTAGGCCTAGTGCAACAATCAAAGCTTCGTTAATTTTAATCTTGTTAATCTGGGGAGCAAGGCGTAGTATGTTGTGCAAACCCTATTCATTGGATAAGAAATAATTATATATATAGTGTGAACTCTGAGAATGAGATAATTCAGGATTCAAGTTAAGATTTTGTGCAATGGACTGAAATGTGTAAGGATTACTATGATCCTAGGTCCACATGGAACAGATTCTACTTGGTATTCCAGTTTAGGGCCCAAGTATAGATTTATTGAATCTAAGTTAATCCTTTCTCTAACAATAAAATATATGTTCTTTTGAACTTTTCCCAGTACTTTAATAATGGTGTTTGTTCTTTTCATTATATACTACAGATGATGAGCACTTTTGGGAAGATGATGGTGACGCCAGTTGAACTCCATAGAAGTCTAAATACAAAAGTTTGGCAAGCTCATACAAATGCATGGGATAATATATTTAAGACAGGTAATTGAAAATTTGTAAGGACAGGGAAAATATTTTGTGAAATATGCATTTGCATCTTAGGTTTAGCAGTGGATTTTGCATCTTGCATCAAGAAACCAGCCTGTCTATCTAGAGTTCATTTATTTTCCTGAACCATTTTGTGGGATAGGTCACATCAATGTTTTTCAGACATTACAGCCTTCAATTCTCCAGTCAGAATTCTGGGAGTTGAAGTCCACACATCTTAAAAGTTACCAAGTTTAAAAAAAACTGGGTTGGATGAAGAGAGAATATAAATCTTTACCAAATCACTAGGCCAGGGGTAGGCAACCTTGGCTCTTTTATGACTCGTGGACTTCAACTCCCAGAATTCCTCAGCCAGCGTGCCTGGCTGAGGAATTCTGAGAGTTGAAGTCCACAAGTCATAAAAGGGTCAAGTTTGAAGACCCCTGCACTAGGCTCTGTGGTTCAAAAAACCTTTTATGGGTAGTCCTTGACTTACAATGTTTAGTGATCTTTTGAAGTTACAACAGCATTGAAAAAAATGACTTATGACTGTTTTTCACAATTATAACCATTGCGGCATCTTCAGGGTCACATGATCAAATTACAGACTCTTGGCAACTGACTTATATTTATGACGGTTGCAGTGTTCTGGGGTCATGTGATCAACCTTCTGATAAGCAAAGTCAATGGAAAAGCCAGATTCACTTAACAACTGCATTATTAACTTAACAACTGCGGTGATTCGCTTAAGAACTGTGACAAGAAAGGTCGTAAGATGAGGCAAAGTTCACTTAACACTTAGCAACAAAAATTTTGAGCTCAATTGTGGTCGTACGTTGAGGACTACCTGTATCTTAAATCTCCCTAAACCAAGTTCAACAGACTTACCAATATTCTAAAATGGATACTTAACCTTTTTTCTGTTATTAGTTATAGTTGGTATGAATACTGAATTGTATGGCTTAAGTTTACCATGGAATGAGTAAAAATACTAGAATGGATTATTCACTAAGTCAAATGTTTAGTTCTCTCCCACACAGATTTGAACATTATCCTTATATCCTAAGTTTCCTTCAGTGAATCTCAGAGAAATAACCAGGGATTATTATAGTAAAATAGGGATCTGAACCTTATTTTTGCATACTAACAATCTTCATGCTTAAATGAAAAAGGAACCAGCAGCCCTTTTTGTAAACCAGCTTCTTAAAACCCGTGGCTCTCCTGTTGGAACTCATTCTCCCAGAATTCCCTGTTTTCAGACTGGCTGGCCAGTAGTCCTGGGTGGGAGATGCAGTCCAAATACATTCAGAAGAAGACAGATTGGGAAAGATCGTTCTAATTTATAACATTTCTTTATCTTGATTTTGAATATTTTAATTTCTCATGTGTATGGAAAAGTAGGCATTTGAGGCTTCTACACCATAATATTATTGTTTAATCATCACTTCCTTTTTTCTCCTGCAGTGAAATGCTCCATTGACAGCAGGCTGAAGAAACACTCTGCAAATCCCTCTGAAGATTTCCTCTGTGACATCTACTTTGGGAGCCAGCTTTCGAAGAAAGAACTATATGCAGCTATTACAGAGCTTCAGATTGCTGGGGTTGAAACGGTAAATACTGTTAGCTTCTTTTCATTTGTAAATGAACAGTGATTTCGGGTTTCTGATAATCTGCCACACACCACACATCTGCAATAGAATCTTCTGGGATGGAAAAAGTCAGGATATGTTGCCCTTGAACAGGATGTAAAACACAGCAGAATCCTGGCGATGTAGTCCGTTGCAAGTATAACTAATTAGGAATTGCACAATTACATGAATGTAGACTTATGCAGATATTCTGCTGGTACAAGTGAGAGGTAATGTAGAGTGCAAACTGGTGCCTGAAGCCATTGGAAATACTGTTGCCAGATTCTAAATTTCAACAAGGGGAAAATAAAAAGAGCAATTAATTTCATTTTGATTAAATCAAATTTGGTTTTCATTCTAAACCTCCATTTATTGTTGAATTTTGGAAGAGAGACATTTAAAAGCTGTG